GATAATACCCTTTAGCTGGGCCCCGTGGCTCACGTCTGTAATCCTAGTTACTCAGGAGGCTGAGATCTGAGGAAGGCAGTTCAGAGCCAACCTGGGCTGGAAACTCTGTGAGACTCTTTATCTCCAATTAACCAGCAGAAAACTGGAAGTGGCGCTGTGGCTCAAGTGGTAGAGCACTAGCCTTGAGCTGAAGAGCTGAGGGACAGTGCCCAGGCCCAGAGTTCAAGCCCCATAACCGACCAAAAACAAACAAACAAAAAGATAATACCTGTATTGTTCTAGATACTTATTATAATCTGTTAAGAGTATAATTTAATTATATATCATAGATTCTATCATATGTATATTTTGTGTGATTCATAGAAAAGGGGTTTTATCTAATTACAAAATATCTTAAAGTTTGTCATTCACAACTTGTACATTCTGAATTCATTCAAGTATCTACTGTGGCAATCCATGTTCTCAGTTTGCCCTTTAAATAAAAGAAGAATGGTGAAACATCCCAAACACCACTGTGAATACTTCTCCATGCAGAAAAATTGCTTCAGCTTGGACCAGATACCACATTTTGGCAGAGATGACATGTTTAATGATTTATGTTGCTATATTGTTTTCTTGGCAAACTGGTTTAATACTAGGAGGGCTTGGTTTCAAACAATTTTAATTGTAAGCAGGTGAAAGAAGATCACATGGTATTATCAGACTTAATTTTTTATTATTTTCGTTTTTATTATTTTAGTGCCGGAGATTTAACACAGGATATCATACATGCTAAGCACACCTTCTAACCACTGAGCTGTATCCTCAGCTGGTAGTAATTGATTGTAGCTTTTACTCGTCATTTCATTAACAATTATTAAGCCGTATCATCTGTGCATGTCATTAACTAATCATATTGCCCTCTTCTAGCATTGTTAGTTTGTGTTCTCTGCTTATTTTTTTATTTTTTATTAAAAGTGAAAATATTTTCTGTATTCTCCACTGACATCTGTTATATGCATTACAGTTATCTTTTTCTCTTCTAGGGACTATATTTTTTCTATGGTAATTTTTAATGTGTAGAAGTTCTTGGTAACCAGGTCCTAGTGGTTCCTAGTTACTCAGGGAGCTGTCAGTTGAAGATTGGGATTTAAGGCCAGCCTTGGCAGAACAGCTTCCAAAACTCTATCCCCAGTTAACCAGCAAAAAGCCAAGTTGGTGGTATTGCTCAAGTATTAGAGTGCTAGCAGGGCAAAGCAAGCCAAACCCAAGGACCTGTGTTCAAAACCCAGTACCACCAATAAAGAAAAGCCAGTAAGAACACTTTCAATTACAATTCTCAGTTTATAATGTGTCCTTTTAACTGTTTTATTGTGGTATAATTAAAATAATCACATGCTTACAAAATGTTTGATGAATTTTTCCACATTAGTCACACAGTTTACATAACGAAGATGTTTATTATTCCAAAGTTTTTCTTATTACTGTTTGTAGTCCTTCTTTCCCTTTTTTCACTCACCTCTACACTTCAGGTAACCAGTCATCTGCTGCTTTGTGTCTTTCTTTTCTTGTTGTTTTGTTAGTCTTGGGGCTGGAACTGTGGGCCTGGGCGCTGTCCTTCAGCTCTTCAGCTCAAGCTGAGTGCTCTACCACTTGAACCACAGCACCACTTCCGGGTTTCTGAGTGGTTTATTGGAGATAAGAGTCTCACAGACTTTCCTGCAGAGGCTGGCATTGAACTGCAATCCTCAGATCTCAGCCTCCTGAGTGGCTAGGATTACAGGCATGAGCCACCACCCCTGGTGCTTTCTGTCTTTCATTTGCTGATTTTTCAGTCTACTTTCTTTTATCACTTATTGAGAAAAGAGTGTTTTTTACCTTAATTGAAGATTTGCCTAATTCTCCTTTTAGTTCTATGTGACTTGCTTTATATGTTTTGAAACTTCCTTAACAGTTGCACATAGTTCAAGATTACTGTCATTTGTTGCATCTTTGATGGATTGACCTTTTGTATTTACATAATTAACCCTATTAATCCCTGCTGACATTCTTGTGTTCTGAAGTCTTTATAGTCTCATATTTGTGTAGCCACTTCTTTTTTTTTTGAGACAGGTTCTCATTACGTAGCCCAGGCTGGTCACACATTCAGTATTCTATTGCCACAGCTTGCCAAGTACTATGAATATAGCTACGTATAACCATGTCTGGCTTTTCTCTGTCTTGAATAGCTTTTTCATGACATAATCTATTTCTATTCTGTTACTTTTAACCTATTTATAAAATTATATTTAAAACATGCTTTTATGGACAACATGTAGTCAGATATTTTTTATCTAAGTGGTAGTATCTACTTTTTAGTTAATGAATTTAGATTATTTATATTTAATATAATTATTTTTATCTTTTTATTTAGATTACCATTTTCTTCTTTTCCCCCTTTTTAATGTTTTTCCCACCTCTTCCTGCTTTCTTTTTGCAATATTGAATATCTTAAGTTTCTTTCATTTATTTGTTTACTTTTTTCTTTTTACAGCTTGAACTCTGATCCTGGGCTTTGTCCCTGAGCTTGTTTTATACAAGGCTAGCACTTCACTACCTGAGCCACAACACTACTTCTGGCTTTTTCAGAGTAGTTTACTAGAGATAAGGGTCTCACAGACTTTCCTGCCCAGGCTGGCTTCGAACTGAGATCCTCAGATCTCAGCTTCCTGAGTAGCTAGGATTACAGGTGTGAGTCATCGTGCCTGGCATGTATTTCATTTTAATTGGATATTTTTGGGCATCTGATTGTAGTCTAATGCTTATTCCATCATAAAGACCTAAGACATTTTATTTTCTGGAAAGCTTGAGTAGTTTTGTCTTTGTTCTAAAATTTCACAAACTTTCTTTTCTCTGGATGTAATAGGTCTGCATTCATCTTGTTTGAAACACTTGGCAAGACCTTTCACTTTGTCTCTCTTCAGTTCTGAAGTAAAAAGGTTTGCTACTTTTTAAAAAAGTGTCTTTCCTATTTGTGAATGGGAAAAGATCCTGTAATCTATTAAACTTCTTGGATTAATCACTGCCTTTCTATAATTTTCTCCTACATTTTTCCTTTCCACTCTGCTGTCTTGTTTACAGCAAGTAGTATGGGAAGCTGCCTTATCCTCTTCTTTTGACTGTATATTGAAGAAGCCAGCTAGTTCTAAGTGTCTATGGCTTTCCCGTTCTCTGTTCTTTTTATCATAGAAACTTGTTGTATTTTTGTTTGACTCATGCCTTATTGAATGTTATGAGGCTTCAAATCAGAATTCTTTTCTTTTTAAAAATTTTCTTTTTCAGCTTACCTATTTTCTTCTGTAGTCATTAGTTTTGTTTGCTGAAGTCAAGCCTTTGGAAGATGTCGTATACTTAAGATCAGGACAATGTATAATCAAATGTGTAAGGAGAAATACAAAAAAATCTCATCTGGGAGCAATGCTAATCGGATTATAATACTGTGGGTACTGTATTCATGCTTGAGCTAGCACAGATGTGGTGATAATAGAAAAAAAAGAAAGCATAAGGAGATAAAAACAGAATTGGGAACTCATTTCTGCTTTCTCTACCCTCCAAATACTTCTTACTGAACTAATTGTATATTTCTTTATAATAGTAATTATTACACCTATGTCTTCATAACAAAATGATATTATTAGGGGAGGAAGACAATTGAGGATAGAACTCAGGGTCTTGTACTTGATAGACAAGCACTGTTATCCAGCCTTCTTAACAAATTGTGATTCTTCAAGATGGAGATTTTCTGTTTATTGTTTTGTGAACATTTATTGTTCAAGCACTGTTCTAAGTGCTAGAGTTAAAGCAATATATAAAGAGAAAAAGTCCCTGTCCTCAAGGGCACTTAATCAGCAAATATATTTATGTCATTCACAGTACTCAGAATTCAGAGTTAGATATTCCCAAATAAATATTTATTACTTAACCCAACTTTTAAAGGCACTGGTAGTTCATACCTGTAACCCTAGCTACTATGAGGTTGAGATCTGAGGACCGTGGTTCAAAGCCAGCCAAAGCAGGAAAATCCATGAGACTCTTATTTCCAATTAACCAGCCAAAGGCCAGAAGTGGAGATATGGCTCAAGTAGCAGAGCATCAACCTTTGAACGAGAAAGCCAAGTGAAAGCAAGAGTCCCTGAATTCAAACTCTAGTACCAACATTTAAAAAAAAAAAAAAAAAACTCGGGCCCGGCGCTGGTGGCTCATGCCTGTAATCCTAGCTACTCAGGAGGCTGAGATCTGAGGATCGCGATTCAAAGCTAGCCCGAGCAGGAGAGACCGTGAGACTCCTATCTCCAATAATAATAAAAAAAAAAAAAAACACCAGAAAACCGGAAGTGGCGCTGTAGCTCAAGTGGTAGAGTGCTTGCCTTGAGCTGAAGAGCTGAGGGACAGTGCCCAGGCCCAGAGTTCAAGCCCCACCACCGACCAAAAAAAAAAAAACTCGGGCTGGGAAGGTGGCTGAGTGGTAGAGCGCTTGCCTTGCGTGCATGAGGCCCTGGGTTCGATTCCTCAGCACCACATAAGCAAAAAGAAAAAAGCCGGAAGTGGCGCTGTGGTTCAAGTGGTAGAGTGTTAGCTTTGAGCTGAAGAGCTGAGAGACAGCGCCCAGGCCCAGAGTTCAGGCCCCACGACCAGAACAAAAAAAAAAAATCTTTTAAGTAGTATTAAGATGGTCTGTGTGTCTATTTAGATGTGCTATTGTAAAGGTTCTTTTGGTATTTTTCTTTCTTTTAACCTGGTACAAAAAAAATTATCATGCATTCAGATTAAAATACTATCCCTGACCTTAATTAGAGGTGATGTCATGGTGTTAGCACTTATACTTGGAGTCTGAAAGTAGGGCAAAATGTTTATTCCTGTGTCCTTTGCACAGATACATTAGCTAGTATATTTAATTAAATGATTAGAAACAATGCTGAAAGCTATCATTTTATATGTTTAATTGAATTTATAATGAGTGGCTATTTTTTTTTCTTTTTCAGACTTGGGGTTGGATCAATACATAGTAAAACGCTTTGATGGGAAGGTGAGCAAACTATGACAAATACATATCCTGTTGTTTTACTAAGATTTTCAAGTTCCTCTAGATTTATATGTGAGAGATATCAGGATATCTGGTTAGCCTATTAAAAAATAAACATATACCAGGCACTAGTGGCTCACGCCTTTAATCTTAGCTACTCAGGAGGCTGAGATCTGAGGATTGCGGTTTGAAGCCAGCCCAGACAGGAAAGTTTGTGCTACTCTTATCTCCAATTAACAACCAGAAAACCAGAAGTGTTTGTGGCTGGAGTGGTAGAGTGCTTGCCTTGAGCTGAAGAGCTCAGGGGCAGCACCCAGGCCCAGAGTTCAACACCAGGGACCAACAAAATAAATAAATAAACATGTTTAGGGTAGAAGATCTGTCCCTTCTTCAAATCCTCCCATAGAAAGACTTTAGCAGAAGTCCCTTTTATATATTTTACTATGTGGTAACTTTCATGGATTGTCAGCCCTATATGTGAAGGCTTAATTCAGTGCTTGCTTGTTCACTTTTGAATGTTAATTCAATAGTCACCATAATGGTTAATAGGTATCCTCACATACCCACTATTATGTTTGAATTTCTTATACAACACACACTTATGCTATTATTGGTCTTTTATATCAATATGCATATATATTGTATTTATGGAAACTTTAACTGTGCTTTCAACTTTGTAAATTCAAGTATCACAGTTTGTCATGTTGAGATGGCATTATACAGGAGTTAGAAGCCATATTGATCTAGAAACATTACAGTTTTGCCATTTGCACATGGATAACTGTATTAAATAAATAAGATCATATTTACATAGATTTTATTATAAACACTAATAAAGTATTCTATAAAATAATAAAATGGTAAAATACCTAATTTTAACCTTCCTCAAATTTTTGAATGTATATATAGCAATAATCTTTTATTACTAATAATCTTAATTTTAATAGCTTTATCTTAATCTATAATATGATGGTGATCCTTATAAGTACTTTTATAATAATCCTGAATAATAGTCCAAATTTTTAATTCCAATAATTTTGAAGACTATTTTAAGCTTTCACTTCTCTATTTTGTACCTGAGTAAATAATATTAGTCATTCTTAGGTATAGAAAGTGAAACTTTCAATTATCTTATAAAACTATCAGTTAAATGATTTTACCTTTCAGGGTAAATCCTCCCCCCAAAAAAATCTTTACAGGGGGTTGGAAAGGAAAGGAAAAGAAAGGAAAGAGGACGGGTGGGAGGGAAAGGAAAAGGGGAAGGAGGCAAGGAGAAAAGAAGGAAAGGGTCAATTTTTAAAAGTTGGAAGAAAGCACATCAGAAAGAAGGAGCCAGGAGTGGCTCTGCAAGGTATAAGGAGAAAGCAATCAGAAGTAAAGTCATGGAGTGGGTGGGAAAGGCAGGAACTTGGGATAGTTAGGATGGATAGAGTCAAGACTAGAAGGAACTGACTTGCAGTAATGTGCCTATTATCACAGCTGCACAAAATTGTATTCCCTGGTAACAGGAAGCAGTAAGTGTTAATTTTGCACAATGAAAAGAATGAATGACTGCCTTCAGATTTGAGCAATCTCAGCCAAGGCTACCTACCTTAAAAGTACCTTATCCATAAGGTGGCACAGTGCCTAAACTACTTCTATCTATGGATATGCTCTCTTTGGCATCACATATGCTAAAATAAAGGGCATTGAACTATGAGTTAAGAGATCAGAGTTCAGAGACCTAGCTCTGTTGTGGGACAGCCATGCCTTGGTTTGTGCTTATATACATGGGAGAGGTTACTTTGCCCTGATGTCAGGGTCAAATTTCAGAGTCTCTGGCAGCTCAGGGCCCTGGTTTACCTGTCTTTGTGTCCCTCAGAGTCCCACAGACATAGCTTAACACATAGGAGATAGCCAATAAATATTTGATAACTTTTAATTTAAAAAGTGTGCCTGTCTATATGTATTCCTTGGTGACCTGATCCAAGTCAATAAGATAGCAGTCAATTTAACAAATAACTTTTTTAGTCACTGCAGGAATACAGAGCAGCAGGAGAATTTAGACATCTTTTGTATATCTAAAAACATGCAAAGAAGTTGAAAACATGCAAGATGAGCAGCAGATTTACAAGTTGTGAGAGGAATTTCCATCCTGAAGCTTCCCCAGATTTGAACTCCTTGTGATAACTCATGTGTCGAATACTTTATTTGCTTTCCTGATGATGTGACTCAGTAACTACTTCCATTTAATGCTAAAAATTTGGAAAGCTTCATCTTTTTTTCTCATTTGTAGTAAGTTGATGAGCTCTATGTTTCTTATCATTAACATTTTTATTTTATATTGCCAGTTATTTTTATGAGTTAGCAAACTAAAATGCAATAAAACATCCAAGTATTTAAGTACCACCTAGCTGTACAAAAATGGCAGTCTTCCTGTATTTGGAAAGTAGGCATTGCATTTTTTTTCACAGAAGCTTAAAATTTGGAAATTAGAATAAGGAAGAAAAAGTTTGGAAATTAGAGTAAGGAAGGCAAGATTTAGAAATTTCATTGTGTAATATTTGCAAATATGACTGGTATAAAAGTCAAGTGAATGAAAGTTGTCTTTGTGGTTCCAGAAAAACAGATTGTGGAAAAGAGGAATGTTAGTCTCACATTAGGAAGTATAGAATTGAGCCAGTGACCTAAAGCCAGCCAGCTCAGCCCTAAGAATTGGAGCAGTCAGTGCCCCATTCATCTATCTTATGATGTGCATCTTGAATCTTTTGGCCAGGATCTTCATTAAGATTCTATATTGATTTCCACTATATACATTGTTGAGGTATTGTTTTAGAGTTAACCATCCTTAATAAGATTTTTATACCATACTTACCTCTGATTTATATCTTTATAAACTTTTTTCTGATAGGAAATTTAAGAAAATACTTTCTTTCTATCTGCCTTTAAAATGTTATGTAATCAAGAGTGTAGGGCTGGGAAGGTGTCTCAGCGGTAGAGTGCTTGCCTTGCATGCCTGAGGCCCTGGGTTTCTGATTGTTCAGCACCACATAAGTAGAAAAAGCCAGAAGTGGTGCTGTGGCTCAAGTAGTAGACCACTAGCCTTGACAGGGACAGTGCCCAGAGTTCAGGCCCACAACTGGAAAAAAAAAAAAAGAGTACAAACTCTAGTGTTTGATTGTTTCGAAGTTTTTCCAGGATTTCCTTCTGTCTCTTCCTTACTTCCTGTATGCCCAGTTCCAATTTTTTCTGGTTTGATAGAGAACATCTAGAAACCCATAATAAGTGGCAAACCACATTAACGTTTATTTTAAAGAAAGAAAATGTGAAGTATACAGATATACTAATAACTGAATTTAGAAATCAGAATGTTAAATTCCCTGTTTGTTCCATTATTCCATCATATACCATGAGCATCAGTTGGCATTTTGAAAAATGCTACATATTTCTTTTTTATTGAAGCCATCACTTTTAAATAAAAAGAGAGCACTGTCATTTGTATTTGAAAAATTGGATCTCTGTTGATTATAATCAGACTATGTATTTTCTCTTTCAAATAGATTATCTGTAAATGTAACATTTGAATGGAGTTGCTCCTTATAATCAATCTTTAGCTGAACAAAGGCTTAGAATAAAATTACCATAGTGAACTCAAATGCTGGTTCAGTGTTACAGGAAAACCTTTGTGCTGAGTGTGTGGCTCTGGTAGGACAAGTGCTTAGCATGGGGGAGGCCCTGGGTTCAATCCCTAGTACCCTCCCCCAAAATGTCAACTTTTTGACCCTTGTTCTAATAATTTTCCATTTTTTTTCTTAGTCACAGATTTTCCCATCTGGTTTTCAACTCTTTAGTTCTTTAAATTGCTTTCAAATGCTTTTCTTAATTTTCTTACTACTAACAAATTAGCAACTTCAGTTCTTTATCCACACACTATTCCTTTAAAAAAAAAAAAAATCTAGTTTTGGTGTCTGGAATGTTTTCCAAAGCATTCTGAGCATCTCAATATTTGACAGCTGTATATAAGTAGTTAGTAAATGTTATAAATGCTGAATTGTCTATAGGAATACAACTTTGTGTATATGTAGCATATAAGAGCAAGATTAGAAGAGTGTGGACTTTGGAGGTAATCATGTTTTCATTCAATTATGGGTTGTGCTGCATGTCTGCTGGTAACCTTGGGCAAGAGAACAGTTAACCTCAAGTGTCAATTAACTTTTCACTATAATTGAGATAGTAGGTAAAGCATCTGGCTCTACTAACTGTAGCTATTTTGCATGACCAGGAGCCATTATTCAGTTTATGAAAGGTATTATATGCCATTACATGTATTATCTTTCTTGGTTCATATGCTGCAGAACAACATACCCTGCACATAATCATTGTCTTTCATGGTCTTTCCTTCCCAATTTAATCAGCTTCTTCTGATTGAAAAATCTCCTTTTGCTCTTTCTGGGTTAAATAGCTAGTTCATTAATCAAAAAGAGACCTCTGGTTGGATTTCTCCTATCTGAACCGACCTGCATTCACAGCAATTCATCTCAACTGTGTACGAGAATATCCTTTCAGCCTCTGACACATCAATCTCAACTGTAGACCTTTAGCTTGCTTATAGCATCTATATTTCAGTCAAGACTTTTGTAATAGTGCTACACTTGCTTTGAAAGTTATGGTAAGATTAGGTCATTATTTTTCACAGCCACCAAAGTTTATTTATTGAAAAAAATCTTTAAAACTATTTGATATTTGGTAAGATATTTTGGACTGGTACCCTGCTAAATTAGCTGACCTAAACTGCTTCCTCAAACGCCAGCCTACATGATGACTGGTTTTCATAGCCCGTGTTGACAGCAATTAATTCTGGAGGATATCTGTTTTCAAGTAATCACTCTTCACTCTTCGAGTAGTTATTAATCCTCTGAACTCATCCAAATTTGGTTGTTTATAAATTAATGTGAGTAGCAAAGCAACCAATTTGCTACAAAGCTGGAAAATATTATACCATAAAATCATGAGGTACTTTGATA